CGCGAGGAGGCCCGCCGGCTCCGGCGAGCGGCGGCACAGCTACTCCCCGCCTTCCCGGCGAGGATCGTGGAGCTCCTCCGAAGAGCAGGTCCGTCTCCCAGCGGCCAACCGCAAGCGGCACCGCCGGGCTCGGGACCGGCCAGAGGACAAACCGCCCAGCTACCGCTCACTAGAAATCCTCCCCGATCAGGACAGCAAGCATGGGGAGAGCGCGGAGCCGCGCTCGGTAAGTCAGCCACTCTTGCTGCTTCCCAGCCAAGGCAGGAGGCTGGTTCCTCAGGGGTGAGGGCGGTTGGTTGCTGTTCTCTGCAACCTGTTGTCTTTCCACTGGAGGGCAAGGAGTGCTGGATGCCCTCTGCAGTTTAGTTTCCAAGAGGCTGTCAAGTTCCCTCGCTTCAGACATATGTTGCATTGCTCTAGCCTGTTGGGGGGCAAAGTGAGCTGTCAAATTAAGTAGTTCCCTTATCCCTATACCCTCCAGTCCCTACTTAAAGCATCCATGCACTCATGTTAGCAAAGCTGCTCTCCTAGCCTTGCTTGGGAAGGAGCATGCCCAGAGAAGGCAGCACTACTGGGAACGTCTTTACAGGGTTCTCTCTGGCTTTGGTCCACTTCTGTTTTCTTTCGTTTAATATCTGCATAATTCTCCTGTTATCAGTCTCCACCATTTAATATTTGTAGTGTCTTGGTGGTGTTTCTAAGACGGTTCGTATGGAAAAGCTTCCAGGTAAGGTGCCTAAAGCTACCTGAATTGGACTTTAAGATCATGGGTGGCTATGGTGATGAACAACATGTGATCCTTCAGGCCAGGCTGGAAGAGAATGACCTGGGACTCCTGAGCACTGGACATGCATTATGTGGCAATGAACCACCATTTTTCTCAGCTCATCTTATTTCAATTTATTCTGGGGCTAGATATGAAGTAGCAACCCAAGTTGAGAAGCTACTTGGCTACTTGAAAAGCTTCATATCCAATAGCCAGTTGTCAAGTTAGCCAGTGTGCCTTCTTTTGGTTTTAAAAATTTCATTTTTTAGGTGTCTTCATATGACGTACATGCAGAATTTTTCCTCGTGACTCTTCTCAAAGAATTGTATTTTGCAGATTACCAATCTCCCCTCTGAATTTTGGAAGGAAATGCAATTTCATTCCCAGCTGAGATGTACATTTGAATGGCTTTGCTACGGTGCTGAGAGCGGGTGGGAAGACTTATCATTTCTATGCATCCTTCCGTGTTCCTGAATCTCTTATTTTCTCTTGCAGGAGCGAGCAAGTTCCCGCAGTGGAAGAAGTATAGTCATTTAATGTCAATGCTCCAAGACCTGAGATTTCCACTAAATTCCTCTTACCTGTTGCAACCTGTAGGCTAGGATGGCTCCTTTTGATTGGACAGGCAACAAGCAAAAAAACAGTTTCTTCCCATGAAACTTGTAACTGTCAGGAATCTATGTCCAGTGCCCATGAAAGCAATACCTAATGCATTCTTACTGCTGTTTTGCTCTGGAAATTTAGGTTTGCAATGGGCTGTGGTCTGTTGAAACCATCCTGTTGGAAATTATGTATTTTTAGTGGCATTGAACAAGAGGTTATATTCCCAACCTTTATTTAAAGGACCCATTGTCCTTGGTAGGGACTCTGACACGGCAAGGAGCCCTGCCTGTAGAAGATCCTTCGCACACTGCTCACTAGGGAATGGCTCAGGGACTCAGAGTTGCATAATCACAGAGCAGTACATTGGATCAGAAGAAACCTCAAGCAGTCATCTGGTCCGGCCCTCTGGCCTCCTGGGAGTGAGATGTAGTGAGACAGAGCTTTCCAGAGTTCTCTGTTGTGCTTCAGAATAGGTAAGATTTGCTTCTTCTGCCTTGCTGCTTGGCGTAAGGGACAGTTGCTTCCTTTCACCCCAGTAGCCTGTCTCCCAAGCAGAAGCAGCACACTGTTAGAAGCATGTCTCGCTGCCTTAAAAAGGGCTCACTAGCACGTCTGAAAATTGCCAACTCACCTACCTGTCACTGACTACTACCGTGCCCTACTTTAGCCACTTGTGGTTAGAGTGCTTGTGCTCCCTTTAACCAGTCTTGCCTTTATTTGTAAATTTAAGGGGTTGAATTTAACAAGATTTGGCTGTCCTCACAGGGCCTGAGCAAGATATGGCTACTCTACCTGGTATTGTGGGCCTGTAATGCCAAGAAGCAGGATTTTGATGGATATGTATTTCCTGAGACATGCACTCTTTCACATGCATTTCATGTTCTCCCTTTGCAATTTGTGCCATCTGTTGTGCATACACGATGTGGTAGAAGGTTCTGTGAGAGGTCTTACAGTCACTTTTACTACTGCCCTAGCAATGATACCAACTCCAAATGTGTTGTGCACCTGCGCTGTAGACAGATTTTCTTATTTGTTACTTTGCAACTAGAATAGAAATTTATCTGTGCTCCAAGAACAGCTGCTAAGGAGAGCAACTTGCTGTTTCCCCTTGATGTGATTCATCTACTGTTTCCGTGAGAATGTCCTGGAGAAGCGGAGATATTCCCTGCATCCTTGTAGTTAGATCCTGGCTGCCTCTACAGGAAACTGGCTTTCCGAGCGTAGTTCTTGGATTTGTGAGACTCAGCAGTTTGTGAGGAACTTCTGCAGCACCTTGTGAGTTCTTTTTAACGCAGAGGAACTAGTCATTCGCCAAGGTTATACTGCCTGGGTTATTTCCTAGATGGGACCAGATGGGACACTTTCCACTATTTGTTTTTTAATGTCCCAGGTGATGATGTGCTTATGCTTTCCCTTGGAAGACTGACTTGGAGATGCTTTCATTTTGTCCACCTCCCTTATTCTTTTCCTTCGACAATGACAGGAAACTTCTTGCATCGATTGAATGCTTCTAGCTGGATACCTGAAGCAGTTGCTGGTGGACCAAAGGCCCGTATGGGGAACACTCCCTTTCCTGCAGTTCTTTGGCTTGGCAGCGCTGATTTCTGTGTACAGAGAGAGCACAGGAGGACTTGCTTGTCTCTCCAATAGGAGTTGTTTCAGAAGTGGAGGCACACTTTCTGGCAACGGAGGGCCTGTTGTACAGCAGGTGTTGTCTAGCTCAGAAAGGAATTAAATGGGTCCTTCAGAGCTGCAGGAGCAACTCCAAGGTTTGAATTCACAAAGGGGAGCCTGTAACAAGCTCAGTCTTTCACTGCCCTAGACCCAAACTGTGAACCACATGAACTGACTCATGAGTTATGCTTGCTGTGTGGGGAATTAAGCGTGTTTGCAGAACTTGCAGAGCCAGTATCATTCTCGAATCTGACTGCTGAGCTCACTGGCTGCAAATCATTTTTGTTCTTATTTAATGACATGCTGGTGATGGGACTTAACGTTCTGAGGGTTTTATGCATCCCTTGCTTTATGGTTGGATTTTTTTTTAATTTTTTAATTTCAGAGGAGTCTTTGGTGACTGTAGTGATAGAAGATATGGGGATATGGGTTTTTTTTTTTTTTTAATCTGGCACCTTGTTCTGACTTTAGCATTGCCTTTTGCCAGCTACTAGTAGTTACCCAGGGTCTGGAAGATTGAAAGCTGAATTAGTGATTTTTGGGAAGCTGTATTAGTGGCTTAAAAATCGAGTTTCTCCTTTCCTTCCTATATATCTATGCAGAAAAACCTCTTCTTCCTATCAGCTCAGCTTTACTCAAAAGTCCATTTCAGGAAGGACCGCCCTTCTCTCCATCAAGACCAGAGTCTACTGACACCTGCTGAGATCCGAAGATGGTAGCACAGGGAACAGTTTACTCTCTTTCACATGAAAATACGTATAACCAATATTTGCCCAGCAAATTTTCCCAAGAGCTGCCCCTGCCCCCACACACTGCAAGAAAGCCCAAATGACTTTGTGTAACAGCAGCAGCTGTTTAAGTTTGCCACTGTAGTATGAGCAAACTAACTGCAGATCCAAACTTTTTGACCCAAATTCTATGCGGGAGCTGTCCATCTTTATTCCTTGCTTGAGTCCCTGTAATTGAGCTAGGGTAGTGAAATTTAGATTTTGTAAATTCACAAAATACATGCTGTTTGAAGTCTGAAGAGCTTTACCATTACCATGGTAAAGCTGGTAATTACCATTACCAGCTCCTCTTCAGTCACTTTGTTCATATTATAGAAACATCGAACAAAACTCTTCGTGGAAAATTGATTGTATCTCGGCTTAATTCTGTGACTTCTTAAATTGCAGACAGAAGTAGATTAGGTCATCCAGCAGGAAATCAGAAATGGTACAATATTCACTAAAATCTGCTCCACAGACCCCTGTGCTTCATAAAATATCAATTGGTGGGCTGTGAAATAATTAAAAAGGAAATTTCTATATGCATGCTCCATGACTGCAAGCAGACAGAAAAGTAGGAAGAAAATAGGCTATACTTTGAATGCCTGTTTCTCTTTTTAATTGGCTGCAAATGAAAGCCATTTGACAGCACTGCACATTACTGCATGGACTCTTTTTCTCTAGTAAGATTACAGGGTCTATTGACTTTCAAAAAGACGCAGAGAGAAAAAAATCAGGCAGCTCCAATACTACACACTGAAAAGAAAAACACAGTAGGAAGTAGTGTAGCAGCCTAGTTCTTTCTGTGCTATAATATATTCATGGTTAATTTTCAGCCACTGCAAAGAGCTGGTGTTCACCTGTCAGCCCATGTGTGGTGGAAGAACTAGAGTACGTGTCGCATCTGGCAGTTATTGCCATTCTGGACTTCTATTGTTTATGCAATTGAAGGAACATACCTCAAGAATGAATTTGTCTATACCATTGATGTTAAAAGTGCCTTGATAGCATTTGGGACTACCCTAATGAAAGTAAGAGTGTAATGAATAAGGGACCATGGCATGTGGGGCAGATAAGAACGTCCATGCTGCTCCTGCCAGCTGCTTTCCACCAGAGATTTGTAAGAGATAAAAATCATGTCATTTTTCTTTGATTAAGAAAGGACTTGCATTATCTGTCTGTCTTGCTTATTTGCAGAGCACCCTACCATTCCAGAATGCCATTCCAGGAAGAGAGGCCAAGGGCTGCTGCTTGTGTAATCATTGATCTGGTCTTGGCAATTGCCTGCTTGGCAGGAGAAAGTGCTGAAAAGCCCAGTTGCTATCTCTGGGATTGGGTTCATGATACACTAACTTCAGCACTAGCTAAAGTTAGGCTAACTAGGAAGTTACCTTGCACTGACAGCAACCACAATGCAAAGCTCTTCAGCAGTATGTATTACTGCGCAGGGTAGCTAAGTCCCCTCTCTGTTCCCGTCCTGCAGCACATCAGTTTAAAGCACCACTTAATATGGTTAGAGACTTTAGTTTGTGGTCCTGACATAGGAGAGAGTTGACTTTTGAGATTATATTAAATGAACATCCACAAGTAATGACTGATCCTTCCTATTTCTGTTAAGTGTAATGCCTATAATGTGATTTGTACTGGTATTCCAAATGCTATTCCAGCTGTAAAAGCAGGTGGCAAACGTGTAGGTTTTCTTAAATGATTGTCAAATGTGTAATTAAAAAATGTGAGAACTTTTAACCAGTTGTTCTCGTGTGTTCTTCCTAGACCATAAATTGCTTTTTAGTGTTCGCACCACTACTGGAATTGAAAATTCTCTGCTTAGTTTTGGAATGAACCTTATTAGAGATTAGTAAGATGTTGTTTCGGGGGAAAAATGCAAAATGGTTTGTTTCTTTTTTGGGGGGGGCATGTTGCTCATATGTTGGAGGGCTTTTTCTTTTTGTGTATGTTTGTTTATAAAGAAAATAAATAATAATTCACTGAAAGAATGGGAAAAGGGCTGGGAAACCACTGGCAATCCCCTTAATAACATGACCTCAGTTGTGTCACTGAAGCAATCATTGACTTGGCTTCTATGTCTGCCGAATGAGAACAGATACTGTTTAGTTCTATACTACTTGGAGCTCCTCGAGAACAAAAATCACCTAGAAAACTTGTTTGGTTGACAAACGAAAGCACTCGTTGAGCTCTTCGCTAGAAGGTTGCCTAATAAATGAGCAACTGTGATGAGTACAAGAACAGAAGTCTGTTGGGTCTCATTTGACAGATTTAATTTATACCTTAGATCACGGAATCACGGAATCACGGAAGGCTTAAGGTTGGAAGGGACCTCTAGAGATCATCTAGTCCAACTCCCCTGCACACGCAGGGTCACCTACAGCACGTCTTCCCCTTTTCCCTAAGACCTGAGTGAAGACCCAGCGGGCAGCTGAAACTCAGGCTATGGGAAGCAGATGACCTTCTGTGGCCCTGCAGC